AATGAGCAACAAATATCTCCTTGAGACACAACTGCAGAAAACCAATAAGGACTCACGAGAACTCGACAGTGTCTTCAATAGCCAGAGTTTGGATTTGCCTGTAATTACAAAGTCTTCAGTGGTAAAATATTTCATCTTTGATGGCTAAATAGATAAATTATGTCGCTTAATCTGCTTTCCCAGTTTGGCATGAGGCAACATACAATGTTGCTGAATCAGTTGAGAGATAGTGGTATTTGTATGGTTACTGTGAAATATTCTACTGCTTTTTCCCCATTGTCCTCCAGACCCATCCCAACCCCAAAGCCATCAAGAGCATAGTTTTAAACAGAGGATTGTCACTGGCTACCATATTTCATCTGTAGGGGATGAAGGCCTCTGCACTTTCCAAATTGTATTGTCACTCTTCTCTATTTGTTCAAAAAAAGCAAAAGAAAGAACGGACTAGTCTCAGACAAAAAAAAAATAAAGGTGTACTCGGGGAGAGCGCAGCTCTTCCCATGTTAGTATCAAGGTCACTTCTCAGCTGAATGCCAAAAATTGTAGATACTCTTACCTTACCTGAGTTATTCAAATGTTCTTTTGCTGAATTGAAAACAAAAAATCATGGAGGAGGTTGGGATGTTAGATTTGGAGTCATTCTTAAACAGTGTTACTTTAGTTGATGTACACAAAGATAAGTGAAAACAGACAAATAAAAACTGCTTTTCATGTCCACGGTCAATCAGTGGAAGAATAGACTCAAACTCTTACAACATTAGCAATGGAAGTTTATAGGATTGTGAAGCATATATCATGCCAAACCATCATCCTTACACGTATCTATTTCATCAGGCTATCAGAACCATTCCAAGTTTTATGAAATAAGCATTTTATCAATACAAACTTGCAAGGGTAACTTAAGAATTTTCCTGTTTCTTTTCCTGTTTCTAATATCTTTTGTGTTTTACTCAAGTTACAGGATATAGCCAGAAGACAGAAATCTGTTTCTACACAGTACTGGGGACTTGACGGTTTCTTTGTTGTAGGTGCAAACCCTAAACAAGTTATGCTTGAAGCACATTCTCCGTGTACTGACTCTAGCCCTAGGAACAGTGGTAGCTCGTTTCCAGGTAATGGTGTATGAATAAAACCCTCAAACAATGTACATGTTTATCACTGTTTCTGTTAAGACATCCTTCTCTTCATGTAACTTGGATCTAGCTTATTTTTAGGAGTCACTTTGGGGTAGCAGTTGTACCAACACACATAACTGGTGCTGTGGAAGGATAAAATAAACTTACCACCCTGAGATTACATCAATATAGTGCCATAGATTGCTGTGCTTCTTTATATCCCCTTAGAATTTGGTTCCTGTAGTGCATAATACACATCACAAAAAAAATGCTTTTAATGGTGTATATGAAACAACATGTGAAATGATTGGTGAACATGAATATTTCATCACGTGTATAGCTTGAATTTAAGCTTGTTAGTGTGTTAGATACGATTTTTTTTTTTTTACATTATATGTGGAAAATTTGTTGCATGACTTTTTAAAATCACACACATTAAATGCATCAACTATAGTAACAGTAAATGCATATTAACACAAAATCTGCAAATAATTTTCTCTAATGCTTTTTAATTTCAGGAGATGGAAAGTGGGTTACTGAAAGGAGCTTAAGCGAATATGCTGACAACTCTGTAGTTCAAAGTGTCTTACAAAGTCTGTTGAATAGACCTTCAAGTGGTTTGGACACTCAAAATAGAATTTCTCCTCTGATACTACAGTGGGAGTCGTACCCAGGTAAGGACAGCAACAGCTTTGAGGCCCTGCTTTAACAGGTTAATTTTTTTTTAATGTAAAAAGTAGAAGTGCTACCTGTGATGATTCTGTTGAATTTGGGTCATTTTTATATCTTCTTCTGTGTATTTGTATTTTAATGTATATAATAATAATGATGTATTTAATGGCTTATATATATATGGCATTGTTTTCATAAGAATGGGCTTTTGAGTTAAAAAAGATCTCTTTTCAGCTGTCACTAATAATTCTTATTGTGCTTAGTTTCTACTCCTGCCTCCACCCCATTGCTCCCATATTAGCTTGAATATGTAGATAATAAACTGTCTAGAACAAGATTATGTGTTACTGTGTGTTTTGCAGCATCTAGTGCAACATGGGTTAGATCTAATATAAGATTTCTTTATGCTACTGAAATAAGTCTTACATGAACCATAAGAAACAAAGAAACAAGTAATGCATAACTGCATCTGCACTTTTTAGTTCCTTTTCTCAATTTCAACTGTCTCCATCTCAAGGAATGTAGCTTACATTATTTCTCTTGTCTTAAGCTACCAGTTTGGCATTGTAATTTTAAAAATGCTATGTGCAGAAATTGAAACTGTCAATTTTGAATCCCAGAAAAATATTCAAAAGTGTCTATATTTTATTCATGTTGCCTAAATTAAATAAAGATGGAACCAAAGTTTTAAGTTTTCCAAACACATTCTCAGTCTCTCCCCTCCTCCAAAATTTGTACCATTGTACATAATATTTAAATAAAATATTTTTTTTTTTGCTGAAAGATACCTCTGCAGTATGAGGTGCTACTTCCCAATATAATTGCAGCCTCTTTTATTAAGTCACAGTCTTAAGCAAAATTAATAATTGGTTCAGATCAATTTATAACTACAATTAATGTCATTAGTGAGCTGAAATAAAATTCTCTTTATGTATTAAATCTTGAATTATTACAAGTTGTGACCCCTTCTGTTATTTCAGGAGATGATTCTAGAAGACCTTGGTCAATGAATACGCTACACCGTAAACTGACTGGAAATTGTCCCCCAAGCCCTCAGCCAAGACCAAAGAGTTCACCTGGGCCTGTGCTTGGAGTTAGTACTGAGATATCAAAACACAAGTGCCGTGGTGTAACTAAACAAGACGAGCATCTTTGGGAATATATTGCTGATGAAGAAGCCTTACTGACTCTGGGAAAAGAATTACTAAGTTATACAGGTACGTGACAAATACTGCTCTTTGTTCTCCTCACGCTTGGAGGTAACACAACGACAAGAAGTAGCTATTTCATTTGCCTTCTCAGATCTAACTGGTTTTGGTGCAAGAATGTACTAAACCATTTGACGATGCAAGACTCTGCCATAGTTGAATGTGATTTATTTCTGTTTGATCACACTTTAATTTACCCTTCATTTAGCAGAAGCAAACTATTTCATGCAACTTTCTTAAGTAAGTTTTTTACCCCCCCCACCCCCAACTTCCTTCAGTTTTTTACTCCTTGCGTTTTTGTTGCAGAAATCTGCAAGATGTACTAGGTACTGTTTCAGATCATTAACTGCATTTAAATAGATATCTTTTCCTTGGATACTTCACCCCAGGTGAAGTTAGAAGCTAGATGTGATTTAATGCAAGAGTAGCAAGAAGAGGAAGAGATGGACAGGAAATTTTATAAATCTATCCTGACAAGAACTGTCACTAGTAAGGCACAATAGATACGGTATTACCTCTCATTTTGAGTTTGACTCCTGCCTTTTTAAACCCATCTCCTTGTTTTTTGAGAGTGGTGGAGGTGGCAGGTGGGCAAGGTCAGTTGGTAATGGTTGAACAGAATGAGTTCGTTCTTGTTTTGTTCTTTGAATACAGGGGAAACAAAAGGATTGGGATGCTTCTGTTCCATCTCAATGAGGAGATGGGTCAAGTGCCTAAGACACTTTGTTCTGTAAGCAGCCTTGATGGACTGCGTGTCTTGGGCTGTAACATGGTCCCTCCCTTCTGAGCTGCTATGGTGCTTTCGTATGGGCACGTCCTGGCTATGATGCATCTTCAGTAAACAAAAGTAGTCTGGATTCTGGAGTTTTCTGTCTTTTAAAATGTTTCTATCTTAGGTTTTGCTGTGTTTTTTTCACACAGTTCTTCTGAGGCTTCCAGATACCACATTTCAGGACAGCTGTCCTTTTTGATACGTACTCATCAGAACCCATATATTTTTGAAAGAATTTCTGTTATTATTTGCTTGAAGAATGATCATCCATGCTGAATATGCTCAGAGAAGAATTCGGAGGGCAGTTACTGTTGAACTGTCCGTTCTTTCTTTCCATTTTCGTTCCACTTTCTTGGAATACTTTTCACTTATATAAGTTGATAGCAGAGACTTATGGCTAGCTGGGAAAATAGTAACATACTTGCATGTGTGCTATACAAGAAGCATAGACTATGACCCTGGTGGATCATCTTTTTGTGTTGGTGGATGTGGGACACATCCTGTTACTCCGCTTTAAATACGTACCATTAGTCAGCTGCCAGTCTTATGTTTGCTACTGTATTTTGAGGTCACATAGGTATTGGTGGGCCCTATATATAAGGTTTCATATTGTACTGGCATAAGCACCTTAGAAGCAAACTCTCTCCATTACTTCTAATGATACAGGAACCATATGATAAAAAATCATAATTTATTTGAGGGCTTATAGTGACTTCCTTCATCAGCTGGTGTCGTTTTGAGACTTTTAATGGCAAGTTTTTTGTTGATACTGTGAAATTCTTTAAAATTGATAGTGCAGGTACTGCATTTTTTTTATATATATTTGTTCCTGAAATGACCTAAAATATTTCAGGTCCTGAAAAACATTATAGCTTAACTTCTGAAGATGTAACCTCCTCCAGCAGACACCCAGAAAAGATATGTAGAAAGAGTACAGACTTCCATAAAAACCTGGAGCTAAAGGACCACAGCAGGGTTGATAGTCTCAGGTAAGTTAAACTTGCTGAATTTGTTTTTATGATACTGTAAAATGCTGAATATGCCAAACACCTTGCCAGAACTGAAATCAAAACAATCTTGACTTTCCGATTGTACTTTGCATGCTGATTACCAGTGTCAGCATGACATGTTTTGGATCTTGGTGTTCTAAGCCAGTACTGTCAGGCAGCTCAGATTAAGAATAAAGTGATATAATTTGTTGTTGAGATTCCAAACTATATATTTTGAGATTATGGGGGTTTTAATGCATTAGCTTTTGTTAATATACAGCACTGAGATTTACAAAGTACGCCTATTACAAATCCAAGTTCTTTGGTCGTAAGGTGCCTTTAAAAGGAACAGTTTCGAGCAGGTGAGCCAATAAAGCTTAACTCACTGGAGTCTATGATAGATCTGTTATGGTGCCTTGGAAACTAAGGAGATGACTGGAAAGAAGGAAGTTCCCCAAAGTTCTGTCTGTTAGTGGTTTCTTACTATGATCTCGTAACTAGGAAGGGTCAGCGAGACGCTGTGACATTAACTACGTGCTATGTGAATATGGCTGATTCAGAGATTTGTGCTTGGTCGGGTTTTTTTTGTTGTGTTTATTTTTTTTAATGTTCATAGTACTGAAATTGCAGATCAGTAGAAAACCAAATAATATTTGCAAATAGTGCAGATGGTATAAATGAGACCCACTTTCCTAGCTTACCTGTTCTAGCATGTGGGATTTCTCTTTTAAGGCACGAGAGTGACAACATTATGTAGTTCCTATTTAAGAGGTGAAAACATATGTGACAAAACCTGAGGGGGGAAAAATGAGTATAGTAGCTTGTAATGTATGTATACTTGCAAGATATACAGCAAAAACTATTTCCATGCCTTTTAGTTCTACACATGTGAGCATGTGTCACTAAGGCTTAAAGCAGAGTAGCTTGAGGAATTTGAGCTGCTGAAAATAACTATGGCATGTTTCTTTTAAGGGGCTGGGATGAAAGCCAAATGGATGATGAGGAAGAAATTCTGGAGGATAAGCACCAGGTTCTTGCATTACAGTGAACATGCAAAGAAAATGCAATTTCTATCTTTGTGTATCATACAAAACCAAGAAGCAGACGAAGAGACGTCTTGGGTGCTGCTCAAGATATTATTTATTAAGGATTATTTTGTAGAACTGTCAATAAAAATTCTTAAAAATCCCTTGATTTTGGCTTTTTTATTAGTATGAAGAAGTAACAGAACAAAATAAAACTGGTCTTGTGCTGTTCTTTTTTAGGACTTTTTTATTCTTTAATTTTTATTCAAGATGAGATTCCTTGCCCGCAGATTGAATTTTATATCTTGAACGCAGTTTTATGTCGCCAAGATGGGAGGTAATGTGCAAGAGGGTATTAATGGAGCGTTCCTAATTTAGGGGTCTCGATATGGCCAAGTTTATAGGGTGAGATGCATAGTAGAAAGTGTCATAAGTCTAGTATACTTTACTCCTTATCATATATTTTACCACTAAGAGACTTTCATCTTGCAGAATAGGAAATAACTGGTTCACCTAGTATATTTTACTGCTCCTGCTACACTCCTTAACTTCAGCAGGTAGTATATACTAGTAGTAAGCTTGGCTTCCTCTGCTCAGCATTGATGGGCAGTCAGTTCTCTTTCTGCACTGTACTACTTCCACTGTTCCAAGTATGCCCGTTCGGAGCGATCTATGTTCAGCCAAATCCAGATGAAGAGAATGAAGGGGAAATAAAGTTAGAAGATGTTCTTGGGTGGTTTTGATTTCACTAAACCATTTTAATTTCTCTGATCATGACAAAGTGTGAGCTGTTCTTTTGAACTAGCTGCATCTCTGGTATAAAAAGATTTCTTCTTCCGCCTCTTCTCCCCTTCCCAGTTAATGTAAGGTTAAATGCAATTAATATAACTTCAGTAAAAGGTGACTCGGCTGTTAGATGCTGACGTGGTACTATAAGTGGCTTTCTGCTTTCTTTTTGAGGAGATGCTCAATTGGTACTGGGTAGTGAGTAGTTTTCTGTGGAGGTGGCAGGAAGTGATAGTTTTGAAGTGATCCAGCTGGTGTCTTTTAGTAACATCTTTGGGATTCTGAGACACAGCAGCATGCTTCCTTTCTTAAAGTTTTTTTCCTTCATCATGTTCTGTTTGAATGTGGTGGACACTTCTTTTCCTTTTTTATTAGTTTCCTCCACTGTGATTTTTAAGATGCCTTTCAAAGCATCTTAAAACCTTCCCCTCCCCCAGTTTTGATAAAAGAAAGGTGTAACTATCAAACAGCAGTTGCAAAGATGTCTATCACTGCATTGGGAAATTTTGAAAGTAGTATTAATTAAAAGCTTTGGTCTGACAATTTTTGTTATCCATTTATGGGTAAATCACCTGACAAGACTCTAAAATTAATGGAAATTGTGGCTTACAGAAAATGTAGAAATAGAAGCTTGATATCCTGCTTTACATCTTCCATCTGTGTTTCACAGTTCTCTCATAACTGCTTTGAATGAGTTTATAGAAGATGAAATTCAGACAGCAACACTGTATGTCCTTTTGACCATGTTGTTACCCATTTTAAATGTAATGAAAGGATTATCTGTCTGCTTCAGTCATTTCCCACCACAGCAAGTGGTCAGTAAGTTACAAAACCTTTTAATATAGGTCATGATTTCCATCACTAATGTGATTAATTAGCAAATGTAGATTTAAGAAATTAATTTTATTTGTAGTCTCAAATGTTTATAGATGTCTCTGAGTGCTCATCTTGAAAACCTTGTGATTCTATGTTCAGGAGTGGCAAGTGACCATCATTAACACATCACTGGAAACGTTCCAATGTATTATTTGGGTTCTGACAATTAAACACATACTCGTTTGTATTCTCCCCATGCCATTGAACTCTAAGGTAGTATGGATTTGTTGTCTGTTTCCCCCGTCAATTGTGCACTAATATTACACCGCATAGGTAATAATCTTTTCAACAATTTATTTTACAGGAAAAAAGTTCTTCAGTGGCCCTAATTCATAAGAACTAGAGCCATCGGGCTGAACAGACCATTGATTTGATTTCCTGCCTCATTTCTTGTCTTTAAGGTGAGGGCATATTTTCCACTTCAGTTTTCTTTATGGAGTTTACCATATATTGATGTTTTATTACAGTAGTTCTTTGCCAGAAATTCTAAGTAAAAAATCAGAAAGCAGGTGTTCTGCTTTGTAGATTAGGGCCAGTGCTTTGCTCTCATGAATGTAACCTTTTCTTTCTTTTTGAGTTACTTTTCCAAATATTCCTATTACAGTCATTTCCCTTGCACAGACAGGCTGACTGCTTCCATGCTGTTCTCAGCCTTTTTCAACTGGAAAACGGATGAAGCAGGTGCTACTCTGGTGTGTGCCTAGAGCCCTCAACAGTCAGGTTAATCCTTTGTGTTTGTGCTTGTTGGAGATAACCAGAAAGTCACTGTTTTCAACATCTGATTTTAACAGTTTTCCCATCTCTTTTTCTTGAAATAAAAAATATGCTTCTGATAATACCTCTAACAAACTTTGGATTCAAAATAAACTTACTTCAATGTATGAGTAATCTCTTTGTTTAGTCAGGGATGATTTAAATGCATCTCAGTATTATATTCCTAGATTTAACACACTTGATGTCTGTCTCGCATGGAATTTCTTTTTCTCTCTTCAAGACATAGTGGTGGAACTGATATCCTAACTAGAAGACCAAAAAGAGCATCTGAACTGATGCAGTTCTGAGACATTTATTGCTTGTTTTTCTGTTGCAAATAGAAGAAATCTAGTGTTGAAAGCCAGCTGCTTATGATTGTGGATTGGTTTAGTGTACTTCTCTGCATTTCTGCCTTGATGCAAATGGTTATGGTTTTTTGTTTGTTTGTTTTTGTGGATGTTTTTTTAAATTTATTTTTTATTTTATTTCCTCCTGTGTCTGTTGTGGGGATGGCTAGAGCTAGAACTGTGTCAAGGGATTGGCACAGAAAAAGGATTTTTTTCTGTCCAGTTGGAGAAAGAGAAAAGGAGGGGGGAAAAAAGTGAGAGACTAGTTGCTTTTTTTTTTTTTTTTTGAGCTTCTAGGGTGATTCTACACGTCTTTTTGTGTACATTAACTTCTGGTAACCTGACTTTATGAAACAGAAATCCTATGAATTAACTTGGCAATCAATCTGGATTTTGAAAGAGGATATAAGATTAATCATACATGAAAGTATTCTAGGATTCATGTGGGCACACCTACTTTCCAGTAGTTTGTCAGACTCTGCAGGTCCATCTCTCTTTTTCACGTGTTTGAATGTGGCCATTTTCTGCTTTTCAGCAACTCTCAGTATAACATACATTGATGTAAAGGTCTACTTGGTGGGCAGGGGCGCTTACGATTTTTGGTGGTTATACAGTACAAGAATGGGTGAACCTGGCAAGGATTGGATTACTGGGGAGATTTTGGGGGCTCCTTTGTTATCCTGGGAGCAAACGTTTCCCTTCTGTCCTTTCAACTAAAGAAAATACATGAGACGTGATTTTTGTGTGTGATGTTTAAATATTAGTATTCCAATACTCTCAGCTTGTTTTCCCCATGATTTTTTTCTGCACAGCTCAATGTGAGACCCAGTAATAATTGGACTCCACCATTCTTCTTATTAGAGATTTGTTACAAACATACGTAGTGCCAGATAATGGAATAGTTTGGGAAGGAAGAAAACCTAAGGACTGTATTCTGTCCATTGTGAAGCTTTCTGACCTGTACCAAGAGCAGAGTGCTGCTATCTAAGCAGGATCAGCAGCATATGGTAACAATCAGCTGTTTCTAGATGCTTGAAGGAACTCTTGTGCTTCACAGAGAACTCTACGCACATATTAGCATTCTGAACTTCACTAGCCCCAGTTCATTACGGAATTCTTTCCTACCAGCCAGTATTTCTTTCTGGTGCATCAAGTGGAGCTACTAATGGAAAAGAGTCCATCAGGACTCCTGCCTCAAACTGTTCTCTTGAAATTACCTTTCCCAGTGGACCTACCAGATTGCCTGGCACCAGTGGATGACTTTTACAGGTACATCTAGCTGGTAGCATGTTGCCTAATATTTTTCAGTCAGTTTCTCTGTTTTCGTGATTTAAATATGTTATTCTTCCAGCTTGCCAGAAGTATCCAGCATAATGATAAAGGAATCGTGAAATTTGTGTTCTTCTCAAGTGCTATAATTCCAAGACTTCTATTCCCCTTGGCTTCTTCTAGGTATCTTAGTGCGTTTCAGGGAAGGCCATAGGATCACTGGTAATGTAGCATCAGACTGGCCCTATCCATCCAGGGTGCTGTGCTAATTTCTGATGTGTGTGTATATGTAATTGCTTAACATGAAACAGCCATGTTTCCGTGACCATTAATGAGCAAATTTACAGTATAAAATGAATGTGCCTTGCTCTCAAAATAGACAAACTTAACAGCTTAAACTTAACGCTTATTTCTAAAGCACTTACCTGGGAGTCCCTGAAATATTTTAATTGGCTGCCATTTGGCTGGCTGCCTAATAATGTCTAATTTTATTTATTTTTTTTTATATAGGAGGGGCAGTCATCCAAGTAGTCAAGTTACAGAAACCACGTGAAGTGCTATTTGCTTCTGCTAATGTAGTTGGCTGTACACACGAGAATGTGTTAGGATTGGAAAGTGAGAATTGAGATTTTCGTGTTCATGTTTCATTTCAGCCAGTTCTAGCAATGAATGAACTGCATTGAAAACACTGTTCATGACTCTACTTGTGCTGGTACTGTGAAGGTCTCTGGTATGTACTCTAAGACTCTTCCTGTAACAGAGCAGAGCTCAGTTTTACTGTTTGATTCTGACCTTTAATAGACTTTAAGATGCTGTCATTTGCTGCATCTCATTTATAAAAATTAAGGGTTGTTCTTTCCTCCATCATAGTATGGCCTACGTGCATTTCATTCAATTATCAGAAACACTTAAAACCAATTAGTTTTCATTTATCCAGACCCTTTAGATCAGGGAAAAGTACATCTGTCTTTCATTTGAAAAATGAATTCTGC